ACGGTAAGGGGGTTGTCGCAGAGGGTTCTGTCCAGGGGTTTCTACCTTGTGTACAGCTAGGGTAGTGTAACCAGGTTCTTGGGAGAAGGTCGCCTGCTTTTCCCACAGAAGCTGTCTTGCCTGGTCCTTCTCGGTAGCGCTCAATCTGTCCCCTAGCTGTACTAGGCTAGTAAGATCCGTCTGGGGGTCCCTCTCTAACAGGTCTGGCAAGGGTAAACTTTCTGTATCATCTGCAGCAGGGGCACATACTGCAGCGACATTCTCTGGTCTCTCCTGATACTCCTTTAGCATGTTCACATGGAAGGATCGCTGGATCCTTTCATCTGAACAGCTGGCTATAAGGTAGGTAGTATCACATATCTGTGCTAACACCTTATACGGGCCCTGCCAAGATGCCTGCATCTTGTTCGCCTTCACGGGTTTGAGCACTAGTACTTTCTGCCCAACCTGGAAAACTCGCTGTCGGGCACCCCGATCGTACCACCTCTTCTGTCTCCCCTGAGCCACCTGGAGATTCTCCCTTACCATTAGGGACAGTTTCTCCATGCGGTCCCGGAGTTCCAGAACATATGGTACTATGGGGGTCCCTTCCTGCTCTGTCTCCCCCTCCCAGTGGCCTCTAATGAGATCTAGGGGTCCGCGGACCCTTCTCCCATATAGCAACTCAAAGGGGGAGAACCCAGTAGATTCCTGGGGCACCTCTCTGTAGGCAAACAACAGATGAGGCAGGAATCGCTCCCAGTCTCTGCAAGTGTCAGAAAAGGTCCTCAGCATCTGTTTGAGGGTGCCATTAAATCGCTCGCAGAGACCGTTAGTCTGTGGATGGTAAGGTGAGCTAAGCAGCGGTTTAATACCGCACACCTTCCACAGTTGCTGGGTGAGCACAGCGGTGAATTGGGTTCCCTGGTCAGAGAGAATCTCTTGAGGGAACCCGACTCTGGTAAAAATCCTAACCAGGGCATCAGCAACTGTCTCTGCCTCTATATTAGACAGCGCTACTGCCTCTGGATAGCGAGTGGCATAATCCACCACGGTGAGAATATATTTCTTACCGGATGGACTAGCCCTGGCCAGTGGACCCACAATGTCAACGGCTATGCGGGCAAAGGGCTCCCCAATGATAGGCATAGACATAAGCCTAGCTCTTGGGTGGTCCCCCCGCTTTCCTATCCGTTGACATGTGTCACACGTACTGCAGTATGTCCGCACAGCCTGATTGAAGTTTGGCCAAAAAAAGTTCTGCATGATCCTATAAGCTGTGCGGCGGGAACCTAGATGTCCAGCTAACGGAACATCATGCCCTATCCGCAGAATCTCCTGCCGGTATTTCGCGGGCACTACCAGCTGTCGATTCGGCGGAGGGGCAACACTCTTCGGGGAAAGCTTGGGGATCCTATACAACCTGTCCCCCACCCACTCATACCGTTCCCCATCTAATCCTTCCTCTCCAGTATCTGCTCTGTCCCTATACTTCTGGAGGGTCGAATCTGTCTGAGTTTCCCTCCCAAACTCCTCTGGGGAATCCCAGTTAACAAAGGTCGGTTCTAGGGTACCAGTCGGGGACTCGGTCCTTACCTGGGTCTCAGCAGCAGGTGGGCTGGTTCCAGCAGCACGGGTCTGGGCACGGGTAGTCACTGGGTTGATAGCGGCAGGTCCCATTGGAGCATAAGCGGACACCAAAGGGGCCAAGTCATTCCCAAGCAAAACATCGGCCGGTAAGTCTTTCATGACCCCCACATTCACGTGTCCAGAGCCCACCCCCCAATCCAGGTGAACCCGGGCAACCGGTAAACGGAACACTGCACCTCCCGCCACCCTCACTGCCACAGTATCTCCAGTGTGCTGGTGTTCGGAAACAAGGTTCTTTTGGAGCAAAGTCATAGTGGCTCCGGTGTCTCTCAGACCAATTACTGCTTTGCCATTCAGTTTAACGGTCTGTCTGTGCTGTTGACGGTTATCCTGCTGCGCTGCTTGTACTGGATCCGCCTCATGTAGTATACCCCAAAATTCCTCCTGCTCAAGACAGTGAGCGGAAGGTGGAGGTGGCTGCTGATTTCCGCCGGCTGGTCTTCTCCACGACTGGGCTTGGCTTGAATTGTTTAATGGGCACTCGGGTCGCTTGTGCCCCAACTGCTTACACCCATAGCAACGGATCGGCTGTGAGTAATCCCGGGCGTTGAACCGGGCTGGCTGAACGTAATTGTTCGCTGTTGGCATGGTGGGGGTGCGTTGTGCTGGGTGTTGATACACTGCAGAGGTTGAAGGGGCTGCTGGTTTGTACTCCACTCGGGTAGGGACCTTGGCTGCTGTCTGGTCCAGTTTCCTGGCGTCAGTGTACTCATCAGCCAGACGAGCAGCTTCGGGTAAGGTAGCGGGTTTGCGGTCCCTAACCCACTCTCTGACTCCTACAGGTAAGCGGTCAAAACAGTGCTCCAACAAAAACACTTGCAGCACCTCTTCCCCAGTTACCGCTTGGCACCCTGCCATCCAGTGGGCTGCGGTGCGGTGCACTCGGCATGCCCACTCAACATAAGAATCGCCAGCCTGCTTGTTAGTGTCCCGGAATCGCCGCCGGTATGCCTCCGGGGTCACAGCATATCTGGCCAACAGGGCATCTTTCACTGCCCTGTAGCTGGTAAGTTCCTCCTCTGGGATGGCCCGAAACGCCTCACTGGCCCGGCCGGATAACTTCCCAGAGAGGATGGGGACCCATTCTCCTGCGGGTACCTGGTGTAAGGCACATTGCCTTTCAAAATCCGCCAGGAACCCATCGATTTCTCCTTCGGCTTCTACAAAGTTCCGAAATGCAGCAAAAGGTACTTTTCTCCTTCCATTATTATTATTATAAGGTACCTCAGCTGCTGCAGCGCCTCTTCCTTGAAGCGCCTGTTGTGCTGCTACTGCTGCTTGCACTTGCACCACAATATCTGCTGCGGGGTTGGGGCCAAAATGTGCCAGCCTGATCTGAACTGCCCGGTTAAACTGTATCTCCTCGGGTGTTAACTCCAGTATGCCAGGCACATCGCTCCCCCCGCTCCCTGTGCTGCATCCATTTCCAATAGTATCGAAATAATCTCTCTTTTCTTGAGATTACTCGCTGATCGTCCTCTGCGCTCCAATATATCTTTAAGGGTAGCACGCCTTAACTCCTCATACTGCATTTCCAACCTGGGATGTGTAGCTGGCCTTCTGGGCTGTAGGATTCATCCCGTCGCTTGCCACCAATTGTTACGACACGTACCGTCGGGTAGATGAAGCCGCCGTTTAGGCAATAATCCCCTTCTCCAGAAATGCAGGTTTAAATCCAGCCGATCGCCAAACTCCCGAACGAAGTCCGCGAACACGGCAACTCCCGATCAGCCAAACAGTCGAACGCCTTCCACAGCTAGAAATAACGAAAGCACTGTCCCAATAATAATTCCCCCCACAAACGAGACCAAGCTCCGTCTTGAGGGTCAAATGAAGATCTGTTTAATGGGGGCTACCTGCCCGGTATTTATGCAGGTCTCCACAAGGTGGACACTCCCCGAGGGGACCTTGTGGAAGACTGTAACACATATTGGACAGTAGCCAATCGCAGTGGCTTCAATAATAGCCCTTCCCATCTTGCCCATAATTCCGTCTTCTTTACCTTGGAGATAATTGGGGAAGAAACCTAATTATCTCCCAAGGTAGAGACCATCGCCATCTTAAATTACAGTAACAAAAGGACATTAAAATACATAACTACAGAAATACCGAATGCATATGGTTCGTGTAACGTATCCCCAGACAGCCTGGATCTGAGGGCATGTTTTCACCGAATAGCGCTCAGATCCGATGTATCTAGTCGAATCGCCATGGAGTCAAAGTCTTTCACCAGTCCTTCGGGATACGAATGACTCCATGGGATGGCTGTCGGGGTAAAAGTCCATACGACTGAACAAAACTCCCGAACGACCGACGTTCGCATGCCTTGTCGAAAAGGAAGGTAGGCAGCAGCTTTTCAGCGGTGTTCGGTAGTTTAAGTGTCCGTTTTTAGGTCCATACAGTTTGTACCGAACACCGCTCTGTGTTCGTATGTCCTGGGTGGCCGTTCGTTCGGTAGTTTCAATCGGCATTTTGCAAATACACGAACGGGGGTATATGAACAGGCAATTCCGCGAACAAAGGGAACCAGACGAACCAACAATGCAGATGAATCTGTCACAGGGTCAGTAAAAGAGGGGGTTTGCCTGTGGTTCTATTGGGTTTGGCCTTGCCGGAGCATTGCCGCTGTCCAGGGGGGGAAAGGAGGGGGCCAGAGGTCTAGTAACTTTCCATGGGCGCTTTGGTTAAGGTTAGCATACATCTGGATATTGATCTAGACGTCCCACGTTTGTCCCAGTCTTTGGGTTTACCTGTGAGTGCACTGGGGGTGGTGTTTGTCCGTCGTGGTCTCTGTACAGGGCAGTATTGGCCACTGGTTCTGCAACAGTCCTAACAGCTAAAGCTCCAGTGTCCCTGGTTGATAGATCTGGATGTCATTAGGATGTTGTTATTTAGAAACAATTGTCACAGTTGTGGCCTCATACCTATCTGCCTGCGCTACCCCCTACCTGATATCCCCCCCAGAGTCCCAGACAGTAATTTCTCACACCGGTATCCCGTGCCTGCCGTCTCTCTATCGCTTCTATATCGCGAGGCCCAGTCCAATTACATATATTCGTCTGCTACGCATGCATTAGGTGCAACGGGTAGGGGGAATGAGGTCTTTCCATTGGGGAAGTTTGGGCTGCCGTCTTGGGCATGTATACTTGCTGTTGCCCGTGGTTGGTTTCTTTTGTTGGGTAATTTGTTCCAGTCAAGCCGCAGCCTCCCCGAGGGTGATGTGTGAGGTTCGGGCTGTTGCTCGGTGATGCCCCAGGACTGCAGCTTGTGGAGGCCATCTGCCGGTAAAGTAATGATGGTGGTGGTTCAGTCTTTTGTTATGAGGATTTCCATCTGAAACAGATGCCGTGGACTCATAGTGCGTTGGTAACTTGGGAGAAATATTTATGTTTGCGGAGCGTGGTCGCTGAAAGGTCTGCAAAAATCTTTACAGTTGGGTAATATGCTGGAGGTTTCAGTTTATTTCGGCTAGCACGGAGGATGTGCTCCATGATGTGATAATAATGAGCTCTGAGGAGAACATCTCGTGGAGCTGTATCAGGTAGGAATTTGAGGCGCGGGATTCTGTGGACGCGGTCGACCAGCAGCATATACACCAGTACTTCAGGTGCGTAGGCGTGCAGCAGACCTCCTATATAGGCCGGTAAGTCGGCTGGCAGTATGGTCTCCGGTACTCACCGAAGTAAAAAAAAATTTCGTCGGGATCTGTCCTCAAGATTAGCTAGTTTTGCTTCTGTGGCTTCTAGTTTGTGCTCCAATTGTTCCACGTGTTGGGCTAAATCATTGTGCTCAGCAGCGTAGTCATCCATATTGGATTCCATGTGGGATGTTTGTTTGCTCAGGTCTTGCACGTCTTTTCTGAGGGAGTCCATGGAATGTTGCCAAGTTGTTATCAGCTTCTGGGACAGCATGTCCAGCGCTTGCATTAGGTAGTGTTTGGTTATGTGTTCCGAGTCAGTTGAGGCCTCTATATTTGGTATTTGAGCACTGTCCTCTGCTTCACCTTTTCCACATGTGGGGAAGACCTGTTCCTCTTTGAGCTTGGTTAGTGTTTTCTGGCTGAAGAAGTTAGTTTTTTCTGCCTTGGCAGCGTTCTTTTTACTCTTGTGCAGTGCCATGTCCTTTTTGGTAGTGCAGGATGCGTCCTACAAATGCGGATTAAGTTGAATTGCGAGCCCGTGTGCCAGAGCTAGGAATTATGCTTCCATCTTGCTCGGTGGTTAGCCACCTACACTCTCTCCATTCACAGTTGTTTTTGCCAAAATTAAATTTCTCATACTGCTGAGGCTTACCCACCTTGCTAACGCATGTTGGAAAAAGCTGATAAGGCACTGTTTTTTTCCCACATTGAAGGATGGTCACTGGTGCTATAAACTAGATGCGTGGTGTGGTGCCACCCCGAGAGAATGAGGGGTTTCGCCACCAGAGATGTTCTTTCCCCCTATTCAGAGTGATGCTTTCCAAATCCCAAAGTCGGTAGAGCTGGTGATTATAGCAGGTATGAGACTATGTTGAGGGTAAGCAGGAACTGATTTATTGGTAGCACACTGGCCTTTTATGACAATCCCCATGCAAGGGGCACTCCCCTCTGGACCTGAGAGTAAACTACAGTAAAGACATATACACAATTGCATTGGCTCTCAGGTCCAGGACACTCCCATACAAAGTAGGTCAATCTTTCCCCTGTACTTTGGAGGTAATTGATTCAAGCACTCTACTAAACTCAATTATCTCCAGGCACAGAAAACATAATTTTTACCACATATTAAAAATACCTCCAAAACACATGGAAACCCCAATATAATCATATCCCCTGATATGATTATCCAAAAATCACCCAGATCAGTTTAGGGGTTCAGGATTTCCATGGAAGTCTCAGTTTGACCAACCGCACACGAGGCTCCTGCCCAAAAATAGTTCCATGAAATCAGGCTGTGTGGCCGGTGTCTTTCGGGAGTGAAAAATATAATAAAAGTACCGAACGTAATGGTTCATGAATATATTCAGTCTTTATTCCTTGTTCGGGAGCTTGCTCCCACCGAAGGCCATTCAGTTCTTTTGTATTTTACCAAACTTTTATAGAGGTGGAAGTTCTAGCGATGTTCGCGTCATCTAGTGCCCGACTTGAGTTCCATGCACTCCACGACCAAACACCGCTGTCTGCGTTCGCAGCAAAAAATGGCTGCCGCCACGCGTTTGGCCATACGAACGATGGTAACCCAGCTCACCGCTCAGAATGTTGGTATAATTGCGGTTATTGAGTTGCGAACAAAGGTGAAAAGGGTCAACGAGCAGCACACACCTGCCTTAGGTGGTCTGGCTGTTCGGTAGTTGGTTCGGTATACAAAATAGATAGGTCTCAGGTGTTCGGGGAGTTTGTATACTGAACTATACAATGCATCAAATAAACAAAAATTAACAAATAGAAACGCAGGCATAGGGAATCCGTCACGTGGGAAAGCATTGTTCCTGTTAGGGTGGAAGGATATCAGATATATAATAATGTAATAATGGTAACAGTAGTAGCTACCATTTGCCCTGCTGTTTTGGCTGCCCAAATTCTTTTCCAAAAATATTTTCAATATTGAAATTTGCCCAAGCCGACAAGAGACATGAACTAAATTTTTCATTCCCAAATGTTTGTTTTCCAAAGTGATTCTAGAATCCAGAGTTCTAGATTGCATTAGTTGTGACAGGATATGATTATGGCTTGGACGAGCACCTTAGCTACATCCAGTGTTAGAAACGGACACATGCAAGCTATGTTTGTACAATGGAAGTAACATGATTTAAAGATTATGAGACTCTGGGTAGAATTGGTGAGGTTGGCATGAAAGAGATCGCCAGTGCAGAAGAGTTGATCAGGAGTAAGACATACTTGGGGGTAGTACTTGAGGGAGAATAAAAAGAAAAGATAAATAGCATGCTATCATTCAGCAAGCAATAACCGAGTCTGATGGAGACAACTTAAGAGGGACGGAGGAAAACAGGTAGATCTGCATGTCATCAGAGTAAACGTTCGAATGGAAGATGAATGACCTGATTAGTTCATCAAGAGAGCCAATATAAACTGAGAATAGTAGATTAAAAAGTTGGGGTATTGCTGGGTGGGAGCTAACAAGGGCTGGAGCCCTGAGTAGGGTCTTTAACCCCTTAAGGACCAAACTTCTGGAATAAAAGGGAATCATGACATGTCACACATGTCATGTGTCCTTAAGTGGTTAAATACCTTTGATGTAATTGTAATGCCATTTTATTGTTGGCCCTAAGTCTCATGTAATACCGAGAGAGAAATAACATCTCCAATTACGTAATTTGTGATATTACCACCTTAACCCCTTTCCGAGCTTGTCCGACAAAAAATGGCTGTTAGCCACCTGGTACGTCCGATAGTAAATCGACACTTACCTGATCGCTGGCGATCCCCCATCGGCGATCGCGATCCTGGTGTCTGCCTGGGACCTCAGGCAGACCCCCACTGCCAGATCTGGCCCACCCGTGCTATGTGATCGCGGGGTCCTCGAGATCACATGGCTAGAATAGCCGGCTTATGCAGGGTCTGCCTGAGCTCTAGGGCAGCCTGAGAGCTCAGGCAGTCCCCCTAACTCCTGCAGAAAAGTTTACAAAGTTTGTAGAATTTTAATAAAAGTTTAAAAAAGTATATAAAAGTTCTTAGATAGATATATATATATATATATATATATATATATATATATACACACACACACACAATACCAGTAGAGAGCACTCAGGAGTCTTTCAAGGTAAATTTCATCTGTTGCTTTATTGAGCAATTACAAATTCACACAACGTTCCAGTCGACGTTTCAGTCTGTAAAATACTTTTTTCAAGACAATTGTGTATGTGAGATGGATACCTTATATACAAAAAATGCAGTGATCCTATTTGGAGGTGAACAGGTGAAATGTAACAACGGATCAGAGTGATGTCATTAATGACGTAAACATGTTTAAATTACGTAATAAATTAAAGTTAACCCTATGTGTACCTGGTATGTGAAACATACTCTTGTGTAGATAAGTCAGAGAGTAATAAAAGATAAATAACTATAAAAATAAAGTATATACAAATGTTTCAACCCTAACCAAGGGAACATAGATACATAGTACATATCGTCATTAGCTAAATATTAACTTAGTTATATAGCAAAATATTGTCAGTGTAATTTTGAAGCAATATGCGATATGGACTACTTCCATCATGGAGTTGTGGCAAATAACTGTACTATATTAATGCATTCTGTAAAACATAGCTCAATCATATATTATCTTCTAGGTAAAAAAACAATATAATGAGTTCTTCTCATTTAAACCAGATGGTGATAATGTTTCCAACGTGTATATCCAGAAAGCCTCACGTCTGAGTAACAGGTTATCACGATCTCCACCTCTGGGTGAGATGGGTATGTGATCTATTCCCATAAAGCAAAGTGAGGACAGGCTATGTCCCATCTCAAGGAAATGCCGGGCGACTGGAGTGCTTGCAGTGCCGCTCAGTAGTGCTGACCGTATAGTAGACCTGTGACCCCGCATGCGTTCCCTTAGGTCATTAGATGTCTTGCCCACATAAGTGAGACCACAGGGGCATATAATTCTATACACAACATGTGTGGTCCTGCACGTAATCCGGTGTTTAATTGTGTACACCTTTCCAGATTTTGGGTGATGGAAGATTTTACCCGGTATCATAGAATTGCACGCCAGACAGTTCAAACAGCGAAAACATCCTGCTGTTGTCACTTTCTGTAATGATTGTGTTGTGGACACTATATCTGCATGCATCAAATAGTCTCTCAGATTTTTCCCTTTTCTGTAACTCATAATGGGATGTTTTTTAAATACAGGAGGCAGTGATGAGTCATTGTAAAGAACGTGCCAATTTTTTTGAATGGTATCTCTGAGTTTTTGGGACTTTGGATGAAATGCCTGAGGGAAGATGAATCGATCACCGATGTCTTGATGAATCCTGTTTTTAATTAACCAGTCCATCTGCTGCTATCTCCATCCTGCTGCTATTTGCTCCAAAAGAAGACTTATAATTTTGCACTTTATATATTGGGTGGATTAGAAAGATCCATATAAGTGTTGTAGCTGCTACTTATTAATGCACATATATATTGCACTTTAAGCGCCTTGGATACACACAGATCACTTTATATTGCAAATATTTATTATTTATGTCAGTGTGACCGCTGTGTTTCTGTATGGCCACGCAGACAGAATCTCGCGGAACCGCTACAGAGGCCCCTTCCCATACGCTGATACGGATACCAATTACATTATTAGAGGGTGAGGCCCTCTCATAAATGCAGCCTGATGCTGACATGGAGACTAATTAAATTATTAGAGGGTGTGGCCCTCCCATAAATGCAGCCCACTGCTATTATTGATACCTATTTCTCCATTAGAGGGTGAACCCCTCTCATAACTCTACCCGATGCCGATTTTATGAGTCTCTTCATAACTTTATTCTAGCATTGTCTGAACCACCTGTGGCTCCTACCTCTCTATCAAAGTCCACCTGAGGTAGACTGATCATTACTCCTGGTCTAAAACACTGACTCTCCCTGAGGGCAGTGTCAGTTTGTTGTATCCTGTTTCCCATTTCCTAAGACTGACTTGGTTTCTGACCCTTTCTTTTTGGATTATCTGTTATTGCCTGTTCGCTGCCTGTCGCTGACTTTCGGAACCGTTTCTGACTACTCTTCTGGATTTGCCCTTGACTGTACAGCGTTTCGGAAACACCTTTCATGCACAGACCCTGTGCACAGATTTACAGTTCTCGTGGTTTCTAACCTTATCAACTTGGACTGTGTATATCTGCAAGGGTGAGCACAAATCTCTACCGTACTCCCAACTAAGGTAAGCCATGACACCGATGTTCTGTTCCGTCTCGGTCCATCTTCCATGTGAGTCGCATCTCGCACATGCGTCCCACATACAGTGGGATTCATGAAGGCAAATGCAATATACAGAGTAAAACAAGGATTGGCCGACACAAATGAAAAAAAAGCAAAAAAAAATATAGAAAAAATAAAAATATATGAACAAAACAAATATGTGAAAGTAATAATGGTAAAAATTATAATAAAGATAAA